TCGCCTTGTTAATCATCTAGTCTTGAACTTCTGTTTTCTAGTTTGCATTTCTTTTTTTAGGTTGTTAGCTTTCTTGTTCCCTTGTTTTCTTCCTTGCTCACCTTAGGTTGTTAGCTTCAAGCGTCTTTTATCTGTTTAGGCCTAGATTAGCAAGTTTTCTGCGTCTCATATATTCATTAGCCTTTATATGAGATTGATAACCTTTTTATACTACAATGGAAAGTGTAGAGAGGTATTGAGGTTAAAGACCTAAAAACTCTTCTTTCAATAGTATATCGAAATATCCACAGATCCTTGCTCAAATTTACTCAATTGTTGTTTATATCATAGATCCTAGGAGCATTATCCTGCTTAAACCTAGAGAGAAAGTTCTTCCAGATACCTTTAGTAGTAGAATGAATAATAGACTCTGGCCTATTTTCTTCGTAACAGAATTCATCAACCACATAGTTAAATTATCATGGCACCGAGACCATGCACCATAATTCCTATGAGTAGAAGGAGGTCGAAAAAATGTACCATCAATAAAACCGAGCTTGTTCTGAACGTTCAAAGCCATCCGCACAGATCTGCGCCGTGAGTAAAAATCAGAGATCATTGTCAGTCGATCGGAAACAAGCATAAGACCAGTGCGATCATTGTTGTGCAAATAGTACAACTGTTTGTAACCAAGAAACATGCTGAGCTAAAGAAATCGATAGCTTCGGAAGAAGGATTCATTGGATTCAAAAAAAATTAATTGCCTTAATCAAGACGATATAAGGAAACAAATGAAGAATTATGTGATAATTCAATTGGAAATCGAAAGAAAAATTATGCGTACAAGGCCAATCAAAGAAAAAAAGAGAATATAATCTGAAAACATAAGAAAAATTCAATGATGAAATTTTTAATCACAAAAACAAAAGACAAACAAACCTCGAGAAAATTGAGATCAGAAAATTTATAATGAATTGGAGAGAAAGCAGAAAATCAATTTAAAATTCTCTGATACCATGTTAACTCCATATTCTGAGATTAAGATCATCACAAATCAAAACTAAACAAAGAATATGAAGCTGAAAAATGCTTTCTTATTCATAATAATTTGAATCTTATGTACATATATTAACAAGTAAATAAATATAATCTTGATAATCAAAATCAAACCAACCTAAACCACAGACCATTATCATAATATTTTTTTTTTATAACTCAGTACATCCCAGATCTATGGAAGGGTCCAGACTAATGCCTTGAGAGATGTGCAGTTCATAGATAGATCCTTTCACCGCGTATTCAAATGAGCCGAAAGCAAAGATCCATATCCGGTGGCCAAATGGGAAATGTTTAGCAATTTCATGCTTAATAGGAATTGATCCCTGGCCTAGAACAACAGGGCAACTCCTCCTCAAGTAGAAACCACTAAACCACCAAAACCATTATCATAACACTTAGATCATGATAAAACTCAAAACCCAAACCAGTATCTATAGTATTTTATTAACATTGTTCTTTAGCATATTCCGGATCAACAATCTAAATACAATGATTTAATAACACCACGATTACAGTGTAACACCCTGGTTTCGCTAAACCGGTTTGTTAATTTTTTTGTAATGTGTTGAAGCCCCAAAAACCCGTTAAGCCCATTAGGTTATATAAACCTTAAACCATAGAGTCCCTCCCTCTTCTATATAAAGGGATATAGAGAAGGAGAATCCTCATCACAATCTCCAGAGCACTCAGAGATAGAAACCTTAAATCCTAGCCTTCAGCTGTCGCCGCCCGCCACCGAGGGAGAGAGGAGCCGCTGTCACCGTTCGTTTGCGCCGTCTTGCTGTCTCCTTGCATTTTCTGCTTCTTATCGTTAGATTCCTAAATCTTAACCCCTTTTGTTTTAGCTGTTCATTCGATCCGTGAAAGGTGAGGATGTATCCATGCCTTCCCTTCGGTGTTATCTTCCGTGCTTGTCTCTGGTTAAGGATAATTGGATTTGCTTCCCCCTGCAGGTTGCGCTTATTGCGTAACTTGTAGTTAATTGTTATGTGATTTGATTTACTTATACTTGTTAATATTGTTGATTGCTGTTTGGTGTTTGATTGCTTATGAGAATTATGGGTTGCATTGCATATAGAGTTTTGAGAGCATAATTCCACTTGTCGGATTGTTGATGTTGTGATAGATGCAGTTCCTACCTAGACATGAGGGTCGTGAGTGATGCAGTTCCACTTATCAGATTGTTTGGGGTTATGGTAGATGCAGTTCCTACCTATACTGATAGTTGAAAGTGATATCCTCATAATTTACCATGTTTTAGCTTGCATTTAGTTTAGTTTTTGGTCTTTTTCATGCATTCATTCATCATATTTTGTCACATTTGCATTCATATTAGACATAATAGGTTTTATGTTAATATTGTTGATTGCTGTTTGGTGTTTGATTGCTTATGAGAATTATGGGTTGCATTGCATATAGAGTTTTGAGAGCATAATTCCACTTGTCGGATTGTTGATGTTGTGATAGATGCAGTTCCTACCTAGACATGAGGGTCGTGAGTGATGCAGTTCCACTTATCAGATTGTTTGGGGTTATGGTAAATGCAGTTCCTACCTATACTGATAGTTGAAAGTGATATCCTCATAATTTACCATGTTTTAGCTTGCATTTAGTTTAGTTTTTGGTCTTTTTCATGCATTCATTCATCATATTTTGTCACATTTGCATTCATATTAGACATAATAGGTTTTATGTTAGACATTTGCATGTTTTGCATTGTTTGGAGTCTTTTTCAGGTCTAAATGGAGCAAGGAAGACATCTGAAAAATGGTGAATGATGAGGAGATGAAGAACCAGGTATAATAGCCAAGATGACGGATTTTAAGCTGCATCAAAGTCCTGTATCGACCAAAGCTGAGAAAAATACGTCCGATATGCAGATCGATATGAACTGTATGGGTCAAAAATAAGGTCTTCCGGTGCGATTCAGCCTCCACGTCTTTCACAGAAGTTGTATAGGATCGAATAAGCTTTCTAACGGAGGTTGAATCAGGTCAATCCGATCCGTAGTTCAAAAGATACGGCGGTTCAAGCATCACTGTCCGCAACCAGATGTTCCTATCGATCATCCTTTGATTACCTACATTGAGCATCACCTCCTTCCTTCTGATCGATAGGTTTTGGTCCGAAAACCATTTTTGACCATCCTTGAATTTTTTTTATTTTTGCTTCCTAAAGCTATTTTGGAGATGTTCCCTATAAATAGCTAAACATAGATCTATTTTCTTTTATCCTTTCTCTTCTCCAAAGCTTTGCTTTTGTTTTTCATAGAACAAGAACAAACCCTTTGTGGGTTGAGATTGGATCACATGTATATGCTTTTATTTTAAGGTTTCTTCTTTTAGTCTTTAATCTCTTAGTATTGCTTTCTTATTTTGCTTTAGTAATTTCGAATTGCCTCTTTGAGTTTTTGAAGTTCATGGTTTTTGAAGAACAAAAGTGTTTCTAATGATTGTTTAAGGTGTTAGAATGTTGGATCTTTGATTATCTCTTCTTGTGTGACTGTTCTTCATGCTTAGTACCTCTTTGTAGGATAAGTAGATCTTAGGCTTTCTAGTATTGCACTTAAGGTATTTGCTGAAATGCTTGAAAGAAGTTATGGTTGATGTCATGTCTTGCATAGCTTGTGCTTAAGTACTTAACACCACATTGGTGGGAAATTGTTCTTTAGCTTTGATTATGCATGAGAATGTGAGTTAATGTTAGTTATATTGCACAAGAGATTAGTAAACCTAGCATAGGAAACTAGATGTCTAGCAGGCTTTTTGGCTCTATGGACTTTGACCTTCATTCTTGATGATCATGTGTTTGAGTAAAGGGATTTATCTTGCATATGCGATTAGATAAGGGATCAGTGTTGAGGGATTGGACTAGTCTATATCAGTAGTCCTTGCCTAGAGATTAATGCATTGATTGTTTTTTTCACCTTGATCATGATTTTAGATTCACCTTGTTATTCATTAGTCTTGAATCTCTGTTTTCTAGTTTGCATTTCTTGTTTTAGGTTGTTAGATCAGACTCCCCTTCTTTTGATTAGGCCTAGCTTAGCAAGTCTTCTGCATCTCATATGTTCCTTAGCCTTTGGATTGGATTGACACCTCAAGTACTACAATGACATGTGTGTTTGAGGATTGAGTGAAGGCTTAAAAACCTCAACTTTAGAAAGTGATGCAGTTCCACTTGTAGGGTTGTTGAGGTTATGGTAGATGCAGTTTCTAAATAGACCTAATAGGATTGCTTGTTGAAGTTATGGTAGATATAGTTCCTACCTATACCTACTATGATTGCTTGTTGATTGTTGATTGTTGATTATTGGAGAGTTGTGAATGCTTGTTTGTTTAGCTGATGGCTAGCGACATGTTTAGGTTGTGATATGTGTGGTGGACCACATATATGCATTCTCCTGGATAATCTAAATTACTTATCTCCTCCTTGTCTTTTTTTTTCTTGCGCACGTGAGCAGGAGCAGCATGAGTGATTGGTGCGTAATGGTGGTGAATAATTCTTTAGTTCGATCCTTGGGGACCTAAAACACTTAGCTGATGACACGTTCTCTTCAAAACAATCAACAATCAGTTCTTTTTAAATATCTTTTTTTTTTAAAGATCTATCAAAATTGGGTTTGAAGTTTAAATTGAATTTTGTAAAACTACTTTAAATTCTATTTATGAAAGAATATTGGTTTTGAATTAGATATGTAGTAATCTAGTTAAAAAGCTAAATGGGTGGCATGCTCTCTTAAAAGATGAGAGGCGGGCGTTACATTACAAAATTATGGTTTATTATAAATTTTAGATTACACTCATAATCCTCTGTCCAGTTGTCCTCAAATCTTGTGTTTTGTGTGATTTGGACATGATCAACTACAGGTGTTTCCCCTTTTTTTCAGCGATCAACTACAACTAAATGGGATTATCATTTTTTTTAAAACTATAACTAGTGGTACTCTTATAACATAAAAATAATGTAAACTTATGTCATAAAAATGCACACAAATACATATGTATGTATTTATTTTTGGTCGAATACAAAATATGTATTTATATGCATACTACAAGACTGAGATTCCGGGGATAACTCGAGAAATGTTTATTTCACTTATATTCCAGATATCTGTCGATGCGCACCAGCTGAAATGATTATATTGCCGCCGTCAGCTATAGAAGAATCCAATTTGTAGTCATAATCAAATTTGGTTCTGATAGGCAATTTTTGAAGACTATTCTTGTCAAGGATAGCTAAACCGGATACTTCATAGTCTTTTCCTTTTCCCCAAACAACCATATACAAACCCATGGCAATCACTGTCCCTCCTATTACACTGCAACAGAAAAGAATTAGAAGGAGCAAGTAGGCATATAGAGTATAACTTCATAAATAAAATAATTGCAGTAAGCCCTTTTATATATAAAAAAAAAGTCTACATTTGTCTAACATACCATCCGTAATGTATTTGTTCATGAAGAATGAAAGAAGCAAGGAGAGCTACAAGAATCATGCAAAGAGGGTTAAATGCAGTGACGAAAACCGGCCCTCTCGTCCGCATAACCATCCCTTGAACATAGTAGGTTAAACCCGAGCTTACTATTCCCTTTAGTAAACCAAATTTGATTAGTATTTTGTTTTTCTCAAGTGTTTATAGTTACGCTTAAAATTGACACTTACCGTATAAAGAGGTGCAAAAAGCCGTGCATCCCATCCTACGGCCCATCCGCTGGAGCGGCGTTCCACCACAAGCGCTACTATTGTGCTTTGGACAGCCCCAGAGAGGCATATTAAGGCTGCTAGTGAAAGATCGGCAGGATACGTCTTTATTGTTATGGACTGTGAATCAAATGTTCACATGTATCAAGTATCAACCGACGTGGTACACATATAGATCTCTAAAAAATATTTGACAGATTGGTGTAGGTCTCTGAAGTTTTTAAAGTACCCACTAATTAAATATTAATATGTTTTATGTTCACACTTAAAAAAAAAAATTTGAATGAGGCTCTCAATAGAGATATTATGACTACTACCGTTTGGGGCTCAACCTATCACATCGTCTTTTTTTCTACAATATGCAACATGCAGATTTGAATCTGGTTGATGACACAATTAGAACACTAACCTAAACCAACATATAGGCTACATGTTGATTTACAAGTTATAATAACGTGTATACTAAGAGGTTTTTGTAACAGTTTTATATTTTAACTCATATGTGATGCTGGTGATGCTGTTAAATTTATAGGAGAATTTATATAATATCCAGCTAGATACACGTTTTTAAGAATTCATACAATTTGCTACTTTTTAAGTTGAAGATACTACACACATGCACCAGCTCGGCAGCCAAAAAGTTATGTATAGAAAAGCTTATACTTTTATATTTATATGGTTTGTTGGTTGAAAAGAAACCTTGTATATAAAAAGGAAAAAGCGGCAAGGAGCGTACCTGCAAAACATAGAAGCAGGACCAAGCAACACAAGCGAGGAGTATTAACAAGGTTCCAGCAACCCAATGGCTATGTTCTTGTGAACTGTTGCTATGTCCGGTGTGTTGATCCACATTGTGGTTAGACCATGGTAAAGGAATAAGCGGACCTTTGTACAATGTCATTACTAATGCCCCTCCAAGAGCCACCAATGTCCCAATGATCTTTGCTTGGCTTCGTACCTCTACAATCTTCACTTTCTCCATTCTGTTCACATATCACCGTTTATCATATTCAGTCAGGTTTAAACATGTGTTTTTTCTTTTAGATAATTGGGATTTTAGACTGAAATCAAGACTAATTTTCGGGTTCTTCGAATACCCGAACATTTTGCCACTTAAAGCGTATATAGTGGCCAACCATTATTAAAATCACAATGGAAAGACTCGAAATCTGTTCTTCCAATCTCAATCTAAATCTTTCGGCCATTAAGTATTGTAAGTAGGTTTAATATGCGTGTCATATATTACCTTAGAATCCAAGCGATTATGAATGTGACAGAAGGAAGAACGTTCATGATAGCAGATGTATATGTTGCTGATGTCATGTTCATCCCCAAGTAACCAAAACCCTGATCCAATATTGGCCTACATGTACACAGGCCGGTACAAAAAGTATGTATTAAGTGTATTTGTCACATTATAACATATTATGGCCCTGTTTATTTTAAATTACCAAAAGAACTTGTGTTTTTGTTTTGAGGTTTAAGTGTGTAAAAGTAGAGCAGTTTAATTCTTACTCTAAGAAACCGAGTAAAACTATTTTCCAGAAAACCGATAGTGTCATCTTCGGCCTCACTTTCCTACAAAATCAAAATCAAGCCCAACAAAAAAAAGAATCAATTTTTAACCCTTGTTGGCATTTTTCTAATCCATATAAAAAACAGACTTGACCTTTCAAAGAAGATTGCAAAAGGTGCAAGAACAAGAGCAGCCACAGCATTGCGATACACAATAAGAACGTAACGATTCTGGCCTTGATTGAGAGTGGCCATAATGACGATATACGTTCCTGCAGCTCCAAATTGCAAAAATATCATTAACAAATATGGCCTAAACTTTTGGATAATTGCACTTACACCCTCCATGGTTATTAAATATTTGTTTTGGTTAATGAAAGTTAAATGTTCTGGATATTAAGAAAAAACACAGCTGATAGGAAGAATATGATGAACGAGTCATCTTATATAAAACGTCAAAAAAGGTAATACAGAGTTTTGGATAAACATGGGAACTTGTTATTCCCCCGATCGAGAGTCATGTAGATTAACAAAAGAAAGACAATAAAGTGCGCAAATATAAATTTGACTATGAATATCTACTAGGACACTACCAATAGGATACGTTATTCAATAAAAAAGATAGCAATTGTTATTTTGGATTGGTATGGGTTCATTGGGGCAATTGTAAAGCAAACAATGTCATATGGAGCTTGATGATTCTTTTGCTAACATCATTATCTTCTTGCACACGTCATAGCTTTTTTAATTTTTTTTTGTGCTTTGCCCAACTTGATAAACACATAAACCGATAAACTACATATCTATTGTAAGCTACGTGTATGTTTTGCTAAGTGACCGAAAGATTTGACGTGAGTCCGAATGTTCGAGTTATGTTTCATCATCATGAAGCACGTGGGAACGTACGTAACGTCTTCGGATTTTGAGAAAACAGTCGTAATTAGTTGATTATGTTTGTCCTTTTGTAAAAAAGCAGAGAACAGATGAGATATGTTTATACTTCTTCAGTTAGTTCCATTTAGTCTGCTGCATTTGCGGACATGTATATTCTGTCTTAGTATGTTCTGTCTTGATTAGTGTTAGTCCACATTCTCTCAGAAATCCAATAGTTTTGAATGTTTTATTCGAATTTAAAAAATATATTTTTTCATATATTATATTTGATATCATAAAAATTAGAAAATAAACTATAGTTAAAATTTCATAAAAAAAACTAATTCCAAACAAACGATTTCAGTTCATAAATAATTTACAAAAAAAAAAAAACAGTTAAAAATAATTATTTTTAAAAAATTACTATTCTTTGCATTTTGCTTACAAAATCATTCATTAAATTCATATGATCTAGTTTTTCAACTATAGTTATCTCAATCAATAATAAAGCCAACATATTCAATCTCTTTTCTATTATCGTACACCACATATAATTTTTAATCAGATTCTTCAATTTAAAAAAAAACTTCTTTCAGCCATAGTAACTGATACCAAAATAATCAACAAAATACAACAAACAATTTTGGTGTTTGTATAATAATCCTCTTTTTTTCATAAAATCAAACACTTCAATAGATTTCTGAATTTTTTTTTCTGATATTGATACTTGGTATTTTACTCGGTATTTGTATAGCAATTCTCCATTTTCAGAATTTAGTTAATAAAAACAACAGTAAGCTCAATTAGCATGTTTGTTAATAAAAAGATTATAAAATTGCTAACAAAAACTTTATAAACATTACTATTATAAAATAAATTAAATTATATATCATCACATTAATAGAGAACTAATCCAAATAAGAAAAATATTTAAAAAATATCTCTAAGTAACTAATCTTAATAAGAAAAATATTTTAAAATAATGCCCTTAAAATTTAATTGTCCTAATCTTTTGCTTTGGTGGTTTAGCCGGTCCTGTGTATCGGTTCCCATGCCAAACCGTTTGGACAGCCAGACTGCTGCTTTAACAGACGTAGTTTATGGGTTTCTGACCTAAATTCGCTCATAAGACCATCTCCAATGTATTTCTTTCATTTTTTACTCTAAAATGAAGAAAGCACTATACATAATAATTATATATATATGATAATTGTAAAGGCAATTGTACCTATATTTGTAAACAAAATTCCCTCAGAAATGTAGTACATTTCTATACCAACGGAACAATGGTGGATATAAAATCAGTAATCAATTTATGGATACAAATGACAGAATTGGTGAAAACAAAATATTGACAGAATTGTACATCTTTGAAGTATATCTTATATAGCAACGAATTAAAAAGTTATAAGTTAAAAGCAAATTCCATCGATTATTATTTGTCGAACCAACCCAAATTTTTGTAGTTGGCACTCGCAATAGCGCACCCAAAGTAATCATGGTAGAGAAAGAAAAAAACATTATTTTGAATTATTAAATGAAATTGGTACATATATCTCACTTCGTCTTAAGAGAGTCCCAAACATCACAAAACACACTTAAACACTTAAATACACTAAACCTTTATTTGAAGATCCAGAACACTTCCGAGGTTTAAGAGCTAAATATCTTCAAAAAATAACGGATCTGAAACTGTTATTCATTGACTATACTCATCTTAATTTCCCCATCTCTTAATTTCATGAATGTGTTTTCTGTGTTTATAATATAGTGTGTGTTGATGCCCAACTCGTAACTCTCCAGGAATCATGAAAACCTTATAAGTAACGTGTCCTTTGTTTAGAGAGTTTTCGTTAGGTTTTCGTTATATTCCCTTTTTTGTACATAAATATTTCTCTAGCAAACTCATCTCACGTCTATAAGGCAGTAACATATAGAATAACCAATTATTCTAGTCCTAGCCTTTCTGTTTTAGATTCTAGAAAGAGTTTTGATTCTTTGTCACTTATGTTGCTATTAAAGATGGATCCAAGTTCGGTTGCCCCAAAAAAGCATCTCTTCAGGAGTAAATTATGATTTGCTTACACGAAGTTCGTCCGGATGATAAACGTAAGTCTTTTATGATAAACCTAAGTCTTTTATTTTTATCTTTTGAGGCTGAGTGGTGTGTAGTTCCTAGTTAAGAGTCTGATTGGATTTTGCAAACACTAGAAACAAGTAAATCGGATCTTTAAAAAAACTAAAAAAGGGTTTTCTTCCCAAAAAATTCCTTGATGTTTAAATTAGATTCGTCCTATTGGGAATAGATACTCGGGAGGAATAGATAAATGGTGATGGTATTACAGTATGGGTATCCCGTCTAAGGATTATGATACCCATATGCTATTTAGTGAAGGTGGGCGTGTAGTAAATGAACAATTGAGAGAGTTGAGTAGGAGCTCTCGCTAGATGGGAGATAAAACAAAGGTTAAGGGGAGAAGAGAAAGCTTATCTCGGTCGGCAGTCCCTCCAAAAAACATTGGGCGTATTCCCTTCAGTTACGCTGCTAAGTTTGTGATATACTCAAATTATCCCATAGAGCTACTCTCTCAAATTAAGAGATCACTGTAGACTTAGGGGTCAAATCCACAAGGACTTTAGATCAAATGTAGCTAAGCAAATCGATAACTAGTAAAACGAAATAGCAAACAAAAGTAACAAGAGCAGGTGCAGATTATAGGTTCTTAAAACAATGAGACAAGGCGCTAGGCAATGGGAAATTCGCAGGTTGACTAAATCGCAGACTACAGACTGAAAGGATTATTTGTTAAAACCGTTCTAGAACTCAAAAACACGAATGTAAGACCAATCGACTTCCATCGCAAAGATTATCTATGATCAGATTCTAAGAATTCCAAATTCCTTTGCAAATTAACAACCTAAGCAAGCATTATGGTTCATGTTTGATATGTTCACAAAATCATTAATCCAAATTCCTTTACAATTAGTTATTTTGCTCATCTAAGATAGTTATGGTGATTACTAATGTTTCCACATCTATTAAACAATCTAAGATCTGATTTCTAGGTGATCAATCTTAAAATCTGTGGTAAAGCAATCTAGATGAAGAACCAATGGATTTATCCTTCCAGTATTGCAGTTCTAACAATTCATAATTAATCTTTGAATAACCAAAAACCTAACTAGCAAATTACTCAGACATAAAAATTGAAACACAAATCATGACTGAATAATATTGCATTTAAAAGATAGAGTAAAAGACAAAAGGAGTTCGAAATTCTTCTCTAACAGAGTACGGATTTGTCTCTCCAAAATCTCTGAATCTAATCTCTATCTTAGTCTTAATGAAAATAAGATAATAGCCTAACAATGGCTTTCAAAACCTAAATACATCCCTAAACACGACTGGGGCAAGTTTGCAAATAATAGGAAACTTCTGGGCCAAGTTACAAATTCTTCAAAGAGTTTTTAAGGCTCCTTTGCGCGTCCACGATCGGTGTCGATCGACACCAAGAAGTGGTGTCGATCGACACTCTGCTCCATAATGCTCTCCGACTTGGTCTTTTCAGCATCAGCTTTAACATAGCTCCAAAAGGTTCAAAAATTCACAATTATGCTCCAAGCGTACCTAGATCTGTAAAGACTCGAAAAGACTCGAAAAATACCAACAAGACTCTATAAACAAGACTTATATCATGGTAAAAAACCCATAAAAACCATGATATATTAGTCTGGCAGTCGGATTTCGGTGTAGGTTGAGTATTTCTGCGGTTCCTTCTCATATATATGAGTTCGCTCTCCTCCCTTAGTTGATCTCACCTTTGGCAGTTTTGCCATTCTTAGCCGTTCTCCTAGCCGTCTTGCCGTCTAGTCTCCTCCTTCTCTCTCCGCCTTATGTTTTAGAACAGGTGTGCTGTTGCAGCACACCTCCGACTTGGGAAGCTCGCCAACTGTCCGAGAATAGTTAGCTAGAGAGCCGTTGGGCAGTCTTAAACAGAGAGCTTATTATCATAGATGGGCCCACTACTGGCATGTCGTCTCTTGATAGAGTGCCCTGAAAGTGGGCCTAACAATTACCCCGATTTCTCAGCTTATTGGAAATGAGTTAGGGAGTCGACCCTTACGTTGTTCCTGTAAAATATTCCAGATTCATATTTTTGATACATGAAGGTTTTGATGAATTTGACACCGCGTTAGAGCGATTCACCCCTGATTTTTCTAGGTATCTAGAAAGAGTACGGGTCTAGCCGAGGTGAAACAGGGTTTACAGAGAAATATGGTTTCTGGAGAAAAAGTTAGAATGGTCATACCTTGGCTTGGACGTGCATATTTGGAGAGTACACGTTTGCCCAAAATAGGAGGAAATTAGGTTCCCAGAAGAACAGTTGGTCGCCCATGGATGAGGTACTAGACAAGGAGCTGTCTTTATCTAGTACCTTCCCCATTAGATTTATGAAGAAGTTAGAGCCTTATATGATCATGGGGATCGACATAAGACAACGACGCGGTTTGAGACACATGGCCAAGAACCACAAATGTCACCTTAGGAGGGAGAAAAAAATTTCTACGTGCGCGGGTTGCTAACACGAGGGGGAGCCGTTGTTTTTGTGAAACATGTACGAGCCAACTATTGGTAAGACCAGGAATTTCTTGAAGGCATTACCCAGACTCCCTTACTTCCAGAACAGTCTTCACATTATGCTTACGTGTAAAGTTTCATGATTTTAGAATCGTGTTTGGATTAACCCCCGAGGGAGAGATTGGGAAGGTGGGGAAGAAAAAGCTCTTGGAAGAGGCGATCTAGATTCTCGATGGCGCCGCAGAAGGAGCATGCTAAAGAGTCATGCAGTCCCTCGAGGGAGTTGGCGAGCAACGCCCAGGGGCCTGG